AACACTTTGTCACAGCCCCTCGTTTGTTGTCCTCTTCTCTCTCTCTGCCTACGGTTTACCGGGCAGTTCTATTTGTGACGATATATATATAGCGGCAGTGGTCGGGGCCGTTACTAGGCAGCCATGCTGTTCCTCTAGTGCCAGCGGCGTGTCTGGAGTGTATTTTTTGGCTGTGACAGACCTTTCTTTGTTTCGTGGATGTTTTGCTAGCTTGTGATGGGGTGTGAACCGACAGTCTGTAGAGTTTTCCATCTGGTGTGGGTGAGTGATAGTCTACTTTGATTTGGGCTAAGGTAGATTATCATTTACAGTGTAATCAGTGAGGGGATTCTGCAGACTGTTGAGGGTTCAGCCTCTTGACGAGTCGGTGAAACTCCGACGAAATAGTTTGTCACAACCCCTCGTTTGTTGTCCTCTTCTCTCTCTCTGCCTACGGTTTACCGGGCAGTTCTTTTTGTGACGATATATATATATATATATATATATATATATATAGTTAAAGTTTCAAGAAAAAAACTTTCATTGTGTAACAATCTAATAAATAATATAGTAATCTAATCAAATATAATGAATATACATAATTGATAATATATAACTTACCTAAGCTTCGCCCTTTTTTTTTGGTTTTCCTTTTTTCAGTTATCAAATTTGGTGTTTTGTATAACAAATTTCAGCAGTGGTGCTCAACCGTTCTCACACGTTGCGAAAGCAACATCTCATCCCCCCACACTACCACATGACAACCGCACTCCCTTCACTCAGTGCACATGGCCTTGAGACACCTTCAACAATAGTTTGCTATTGTTCCTGTCGATAAGACCTCACATAACTTGGCAATCTGTTATAAAAATTGGTACCTATCTCATCTATCTGCTCATTTGGACAGCCCTACCTATGCTGTGCCTCTTAACTCTGTCGCAGATATTCTCGAACATCACGCACTCTGGAATCATCGGTGGGGATATACACACAAAGACACGCTGCCATATCTGTACTATGCACTTAAAGCGCACAAATCGCCCCCTGGGCTTCGCAGTATTTTTGATGTCACATAGCGGAATAATCTTTCCCTGCCGCAATGATCTCGATCAACTGCGCCATCTGATTATGCAGTCCACCATCGACCTCCCCACAAACCCTTGGCCAATACTACCGTCGCTTTTGTCCACCTCAGCGTTGTACTACGAGGAGTCATTGGAACTCTCCGTGATAAGGATAATCTGTTGTATCAGCAAAGCGGTGTGAGACGGTGCTGGATCGTGCAAAGCACCGACAAGGTGATGCTTGATCTCAAACGTAATTCATCTTCTCTTCGTGGCCATGCTCCTCGCACTGTTGATTTCACAACTATGTATACCAATCTTCCTCATGATTGTATTTGCCATAATGTATCAAAAGCGGTTGAGGAAGCCCATACACATGCCTTACAACATCACACACAGGGGAGCACACATCCTCCTACACTTAATATGATTGTTAAAGGGCCCCGTCAAGGGGAGTGGACGGTTAATACCGGACCGAACACCTTGACCGTTTCCCAAATTCTTGAACATCTCCATTTCATTGTCACAAACACATATCTTTATGCAACGGACGACACCTTGCGACATCAACTGATTGGCATCCCGATGTGGACTAATTCTGTTCGGAGATAGCTAATTTGACATTGTGTTGGGATGAGGCTCGATTTGTTGATGACCTCCAGCGGCGTGATCTTTGCGCAGCTCAACGATATACGTTCACATACCGCTTGATCGATGATGTTCTCTCATGGGGACATCTGCCACCACCGTCAAAGCACTATGGCCTCGAATGGAAGGAGACCACAACGCCTGATGGCGCTTGCACATTCTTGGGTGCACGCCTCCAAGTCCGCCCCGACGGTTCCCTGCATACGAGTGTCTTTGACAAAGCAGCTGAATGGAATTTCCCTGTTATTCGTTATCCTAGTGCTACGTCTAACGTCCCTGCACACCAGTTGGCGAGAGTGTTTATAGGCCAACTTACTAGGTTTGAGTATGTCTGCAACAATTGGTATGATTTCAAAACTGCAGCAGCGATGCTCACACGCCGCATGCTTTTTCGCGGGCACTCTCCAACAACGCTTGTGAAAGGATGAACTTCCTAAATTCGTAAACGTCAACACAGGTACCCTACGCATGTGACCCGCCTCTCCAGCTAGTTTCGCAGCATGGTCTATTCACCACCCACTTTCTCGGGTATCCACACACTGTCCTCGGACTACGCCGCCGAAGCCGGCGTCTAGGACGGTGAAGTAGGCTTTTTGCAGGGGCAGAACATGATGACGGAGTTTGTGTGGACGAAGTGGTTTGTGGATTAGGAAGAGGGGTAACAGATAGAGACGAAACCAGGGGAGGTGGGAGTGGTGAAGACAAGGTTGGTAGAGTAGCCGGAAGGTGGGTAACAGACGGAGATAACACCAGGGGAAATAACGACAGTGAAGGCGGGGGGGATGAAGTCAAGGGTGATGAAGTCAGGGATGGTGAAGTGGCTGAAGCAGAGACAGGGGGGCAGTTGTAGGTGAGACCCGAAGAGGGGACTCTGCGGGTGGTAATGCAGGCATGCCCACGGATGCCATGGAGGAACACACCGAGACCAAGGGTGACACAGCAGCTGCGGTGGCCACGGATGCCATGGAGGAACACATCGAGACCAAGGGCGACACAGCAGCTGCCGTGGCCACGGATGCCATGGAGGAACACACCGAGACCAAAGGCGACAAGGCAGTTGCGGATCGAGTTGCTCCCGTGGAATCAATCGTGGAAGCAACCAAGGCCGATGAGGAAGAGATTGCGAACCGAAAATGGGCAGCCAAGGTCACAAACGGCATGGAAGGGGTTACTAAGGCTGGTGAGGACGCAGGTGCGACAGACACAGATAATGAAGAAGAGGTTGTGATAGGTGTGACAGGCGTCGGTAATGAAGAAGGGGTTATCATCGAGAACCATATACTCACCCTGATTTCTTGGCCATTGCTTTCGATCTTGATGCGTGAGTTATATGGCGATAACCCGACTTTGCATCCCCCGCATGATAGTAATTACACTCCACATGGGGGATTCAATGTGTCTGTTTTGGAGACTGCTTTGATAAGGCGTCGGCTTGATGTGCAGCATTTCCCTTCGGGTGGCGACCTGGACCACTGTTCGCACGATTGTGCCTATATTCTACATGCTCCCGACCACTACACCGCTCTTGTCCATGCCTCTAGTTCTTGGGAATTATGGAATGGTGCTGCTATGGTGCAAACTATTACTGCCATTTGTGATCTCGTGCGTAATTGAGAGAAGGTTAACAACAATCGTATTTTTCATCACCACTTCAGGACACCCTTCACCATTTCAGGATGCAGCCTGCCTAGACAAGTGGTTTTCAGGGTCTTCGGACCTTTCACCACTTCAGGACCATTCAGGTATGAAAATCTTGAATGGTCCTGAAGTGGTGAAAGCTCCGAAGACCCTGAAAACCACMTGTTTAGGCAGGYTGCATCCTCAAGTGGTGAARGGTGGTTTTCATGGTCTTCAGACCTTTCACCACTTCAATACCATTCAGGATTTTCAGACTGCCCAAAACTCTCACTTGACCACTTCAGGACACCCTTCACCACTTCAGGATGCAGCCTGGCTAAACAAGTGGTTTTCGGGGTCTTCGGACCTTTCACCACTTCAGGACCATTCAGGATTTTCATACTGCCCAAAACTCTCACTTCATAATTTTCATTCCTGAATTTTCAGCTACCCGATAACCGCTTGTGGCGTAATTACCCTTACCTGCAATTGTTCCAGGTCATTGACCCTATGGGTACCTCGTGTACTTCCATGCTTGCCTCTACGCCTATGTCTGTGCCTGCCTCCGTACATGTCTCTGTGCTTGTTTCTGTGTGTGTCTCCTTCCAGATTACAAACCCTATGGGTACCTTGTGTACCTCCGTTCCTGCCTGTGCACCTGTCTCCGTGCCTGCCTCCGCACCTGTCTCCATGCCTGTTTCTGTCTCTCCGTGCCGACCTCCATGTCTGTCACCGTGCCTGCTTCAGTCTTCATTCCCTCACATGCTGCACTAACACCTTGTGACCTCCTTTGTGAGATCACTAACACAGTTACACTTCGTTGTGGAAAGCATCGACTTTGTCGACATCACTACAACCGTATAAATTTTCGGGTCCGTTGTCGGCAGGGATGCCACCTGTATCCAGCTTGTGAACATCCTCTACATCCAGATGCAGTATGTCCCATCTGTGCCTACGGGCGCTATAGCGAATGTGCACTTAACTGTGATGGTGAACGCCTCGCAATCGTCATGGCCTGCAACCGACACGCCCTCTGTCATGCATTCTTCAGAGGTATGGTTAATGCTAGCCGCTCGGGCTCCTGCTGCGACGAAATTGCTTACCTGAATGGTTTTCGTTTCGTCATGCAGATCAGCGGGAGGGCTGCTACCATCGCCCGCATCCTTATGACAATTGTCCTAAGGGTCTTACTTAGACGTACCTCGCACCCTGACAAAAATGTGCAGGTGCGTTGAAAAGAGTGTATAAGAATGTGCAAAGGTGGGAAACCCTTCACTAAAACTGCAAAACAGTGAAGAATGCAGTTAAAGAAGAACATAAGTTTGTGTCATTTTACTTTGTTTGTACCCTGCACCCTAACACCCTCAAAGGAAAAGTTCGAAGGGTGAAAATGAGAATGAAAACTGAAGAAGTGCAGGTGCGCTGAAAACCGAACGTGGTAGACTCTTCACCAAAACTGCAAAACTGTGAAAGAAAGAAGAATGCGGTAAAATAAAAAAGATAT